GCGCTGCCAGGGCCGGCCAGGGCCGAGGGGGCACGGGGACATGGACGGCCAGGGCCGAGGGGGCACGGGGACATGGACGGCCAGGCCCTCGCATTTTCTGCTTCTGTTGGTGCTTCGCCACTGCGGGGCCATGTGGACCAGGGAGGGACTGTCCCCCAGGGAAGCGGGTTCCCGCAGACGGCCGGCTCTCAGTGTGCAGACCACTGTCCAGAGTCCACGCCCCGCCCCTCCTTCCTCAGGCTCCTACAGGCTAGAGCGCCGTTCCCCTGCCCTGCATCCCCCTAAGGCCACCCCAGACAGCTTGGGCGCCTACACCCAGAGCCGCTGAAACTACCCAAGCTGTCACTGACCCTGCCTCCCGGGGTCCCTCCCACGCAAGCCTCCTGGCTCCACTGGGCCTCCTGTGACCAAATGTCATAGTGCTGGTCCCCCATCTACTGGCCTCTGTCCCTGGGCACCCGACCCCAGTACATGCTGGCCAGGTCCCCCAGGCCACAGGCGGACGTGTGAGCCCCGCTCCTGGGCCTCCAGGACCTCTTGTGTCCAGATAGAAGACTGCCCCTGACAGGGAGTGGCCACCCCCGGGTGCCGGAGGGCAGACCCGGTTTCCCGACACCCAGGGCTCTTCCTAGTCCCTCCAAGCACAGCCCCCGATGGTGGGCACCGCCCTGTGGGCTCAGAGTGGGGCCCAGGCTCTGAATTGGGAACCCCAGCTTCCCTGCACTGGGCGCCCCGAGGGCAGACGGGGCAGAGCTACCCCCAGACCTGACCTACCCCGAGTGGGTGTTCATCCCAGGCTCTGGGAGGGCCCTGAGTGCAAGTGGAGGCTGGGAGGCGAGCCCGTCTCCAGGTGTAGGTCGAGTCCTTCCTGCCCGGGGTGCCCGTCAGAGCTGGGCCCCACCCGAGGCTGGGCCAGGTCCCTCATCACAAGTCCAAGTCCACATCGGGTCACCTGTTGTTAGGCACGTCGAGCCGGCGGGCCACACTGTCTGCTATGAAGTGTGACAGGGCCAGGCCGTGTGAGCAGAGGCCCGGGCCGTGTGAGCAGAGTGGAAGGGGCCGGCCTGCATCATTGTCCCCCCCTGACCTGGGCCGGCCCCTCCTGCCAGGATTGACAGGGAGGACACAGCCACCTAGTGAAGAGGGTGGCAGGGTCACCCTGCAGGACCGCCCGGGGCCCACCTTGACCTGGCACATCGTCCTCCCCACGCCCTGACGGCCCTCTGACAGCTGACCCTGAGCTGTGGGGGCCAGGGCAGGGGCCGCACTCCACTCAGGGCCCTGCCCTGGTCAGTCCCCATGAAGGGAATGGCAGCCCTGGGCAGCGGGGCCGGGTCCCCGACCCTGCGCCAGGTAACCTCTGAGGACTCACTCCCTGGCCTGTTTCCTCGCCTGTAAGGAAGGGGCTGGGCCAGGTGCTCTGAAAGAAGGAGGCACCCTCAGCCACCACGAGCTCCAAACCTGTGGCCCAGAGCAGGCCGAGAAGGTGTCCAGTCCAGTGGATGGCCCGGGCCCACCTCTGCCCACCTTCCTGGGGTCACAGCCACCTGCCTCCCTGAGCCTCCAGTTTCCCCGGATGGCAGCCCCAGGAGGGCGGGCGGCACAGAGAGGGTGAGGAGGTCATGGGGACACAGCACATGCCTGGTCGCAAGGGCACCCCGGCCGCAGAAGGGACCCAGGGGGCTGCCCTCGGGTCTGAGGCCGTGGGTGATGATGTGGGCTGAGGAGCTGGGCCCCCTGTGTTGCATCCGGACACACTATGCCCCCTCGCTGCGTGGCCTCATCCACCCCCCCACC